ATTTCGACACAAAAGTTGTGTTCATTTGAATGAAAGGAAATTCAAATGTAATGAAAAAAATTGTGGCAAAAATTTTAAGCAAAAATTAAATCTAATTCGACACAAACGCATACATTCGGGAGAAAAACCATTTATTTGTAATTTTAAGGATTGTGATAAAATATTTTGCACAAAATATGAAGTAAAAGTACATATGAAAAGACATTTGAATATAAAAAGCCATAAATGTATTCATAATAACTGTAATCAAATGTTTGTTACATCGAGTGATTTGAAATCACATTTAAATTATAAACATAAACAAATTTAATCACTTTTAATTACACACTATTTTACATTGAGATTATACTGTATAATAATTTTTGATAAAATAAAAATAAACTAATTATGTTTTAACGAAATATTTAATTAATACAGTAATTAATTATTATTATATCTAAATCATTCAGCAATAATTGATTGTCAATTAAATCAACTTATTTTATTGATCAAAAATATTGGCTCCAAATGCCATCACATGTACTCTCGTATGGATTGTCGAGAATAAGTGACATATCGTTGGGATTCAAGTCTTTCACTCGAATCACAGATTTGTCCCAAAGTTGTGGCCAAACGTCATGTGGTTTACTATAGAAACAAATTTTAAATTATTAATAATATTTATAAATAATAGATATAGAGAAAATGTTCATGTAAAACCCAATGACTATATTAAAAATAATACATTAAATGTACCCATTTTTAGCGAAATCAGTCCACATTTTCATTACATCAATACTAAAGTCATATTCAGTTTCGCTAAACAGTTGCGGATGTCTTAATGGAAAGCCGTAAACAAAAGCTAAGTCCGCGCCGTGACATACGGCGTCTCCGGTATTGCCAAATATATTGCCATAGAATTGACTTTGAAAATTAAAACGATAAAAATACACATTTTGTCCATTTGTGGCAAATCTCTTGGCAAACAGATATGTGGGACAAGTCATCACTAAATCGCCATATAATGCATTTAACGCTGCCTTCAGTTGCGATGAATTGGTTTTGTCAACACCTTTGAGGTAATGACCGCACACTTTGTCCACATTTATGTTATGGAATTCATTACTCAATTTGATCACAATTTCCCGCAACTGGTGTTCAGTCATTTCGGTTTGCATTTCTGGGTATAACATAAGTGTCAGTATTAGGCCCTCATCTTTGGTCGCACCGGCCATTAGTTCTACATCTAGTAATAATATGTTATATAAAGTTTGTGAATAAT